ATAAAAAAAGATTAGGCCCATCCCATTTAATATATATATATATATATATGTGTGTTTTCCAAGCCCATACAATAAAGATTAGGTTAGATGGGCCATCGAGCCCATGCCAACCCTACTATGTGTGTTAAAAGAAAATAGGGCAAATTATCCCTATGTTCTCTTTGAAAGATGTGTACTCTATTTAGTCCCATAATCTTTTGTGTAAATCCAAAAGTTTTCAAGCGCATCTTCTTTCTTCTCTTTCTCTCTCTAATATACACTTAGGTTGGGTTTCATTACCGATTGCCAAGCCCATCCCATTCAATATATCCTATATATGTTTTTTCGAGCCCATAAAAAAAGATTAGGCCCATCCCATTTAATATATATATATATATATGTGTGTGTTTTCCAACCCCATACAATAAAGATTAGGTTAGATGGGCCATCGAGCCCATGCCAACCCTACTATGTGTGTTAAAAGAAAATAGGGCAAATTATCCCTATGTTCTCTTTGAAAGATGTGTACTCTATTTAGTCCCATAATCTTTTGTGTAAATCCAAAAGTTCTCAAGCACATCTTCTTTCTTCTCTTTCTCTCTCTAATATACACTTATCAGTGATTACTATCGATTGGGGTTCACCAACATAGCTGGCCTTGGGTTAAGGCGGCTAAGGCTGCTAAGGCCTGTGCCTATGACCCCCAAATTTGTTTTATTTTATATTATATTAAAAGTTCAAAACCCAATCTTTTTTTATTGTTTGAGGTCCAGACTAAAAAGCCCCTCAAAAAAATCTGTTAGGCCAAATTATATATATATATATCAGCATTGATAGAGACCCTCTCCAATCACCACCCCCACGACCCCCCCAACACACGTGGCGGGTAGTGATTGGAGGAGAAGGAAAAAAAAAAGAAAAACTGGCCAATGGGAGAGAAAGGGGGTTCAAAGGAGGTGGGAGGGAAAGGGGGTTTGAAACATTTTTCTATATATATATATATAATCATTGTTAGGTCCAATTAAAAATTTGTATAATTAGTCTAAACAAATATATATGATTTAGCCTTCGTTTGAGAAATGAGTTAGTTTTTTGATTTTTTAACTTTTTTGATTATTTTAATCTGAAACTAAAAAGTCTGGTTTGAGATAAGTTTTTTAACGTTTTTAACTTTTTGGTGAGGTGTCCCCATGCTAAATTACCTAACTATCCTTGGGGTATGAAATGGGCACTGCTGGGCGGCTGAGCCTACCACGTCAGCACCGTTATTGTTTTTTTTGTTTTTTGTATTTGTTTTTGTTTTTTGGATAAGGCTTTTTTGGGGTTTTTTTTTTCTGGGTCTGGCTTTGGTCTAGTCTACCATCGGACTGGACCGTGCTGTTGGGTTTGTGGAGGCCCACCACGGGTCCCGTTTTGAAAATCTGAACCGTCAATATGTAGAACTCTTCGAGTACTATATGCCTGTAAAAAATCACGTTGATTGGATATCGATAGCTATGTGATCAAATCAGTTTTTTTTCAACCGTTAATTTATTCACCGTCTATTTTTTTTATACAAAATTGATTTGGTCACATAGCTATCGATATCCGATCAACGTGATTTTTTTACAAGCATATAGTACTCGAAGAGTTCTACACATTGAACGGTTCAGATTTTCAAAACAAGACCCGTGGTGGATCTCTACGGACCCAACAGCACGGTCCAGTCCGATGGTAGACTGGACCAAAGCCAGACCTTTTTTTTCTTGACGTGGAATATTTTATTCTTATGATATTTGTTTGTCATTTCATTGTTTGTTTTTTTATATAAATTTGTTTTTTTTTTTGTTTTCCAGAAGGCTTTTGCATGTGTATTTTTTTTTTAAAAAAAAATTACGTGAAAATGCTAATTTCAGATTTATTTTATTGTTTTTTTTTTCTTGGTTTTGTTTAATTTATTTATTTATTTTTTTTTTTGGGGAAAGGCTTTTTCATGTTTTTCATGCAAATATGGCGTGGAATGCGTGCTAATGTCCATTTTTTGTTACGTTTTTTTATTTGTTTTAGTATTTTGAAAAGGCTTTTTTAATTTTTCTTTTAAATGACGTGGCAAATGATAATTTTTGTTTTGTTTTGTTTTTTTTTTTTTGTAAGTTGTTTTTTGGTTTGGAAAAAGATTTTTTTTTTAATGTTTTTTAATTTTTTTTGTTTTTAATTTTTTTTTTGTTTTTTGGAAAAGGCATTTTTATGTTTTGTTTTGTTAAATGACGTGAAAATTACATATTTTTGGTTTTAGTTGTTTTTTTTTAAGAAAACACCCAAACATTTTTGAACATTTACGTCATTGATGTGAACCGTTTGTTGGAATTTGTTTTTCAATTTTTGATCGTACACATTTTCGTACATTCGAATTTGGAAAATGACGTGTTCAGTAATGTCAAAGGGATTATTTCTCGTGTAAACACATACATATTGTACATGCTAATATACTTACATACAGACTCTTCCGCATGGGTTACCAATATTACAAGCCTACGAATATTATGTAGACTATTATATATTTCCTAACATTCTGTTATTACGCATGCACACTAACTTGTCCCGTATGTGAAGTTGCACCAATGCTATATGCGGGTTCTCATCCCCAACCATTAAACCATTCTCGTCATGTTCAACCTCTGGTATGGCATTTACTATTGTCATTGCCTCTTTTGTTTTGTTTTTTTTTTTTTCAGTTGTTGGGTTACCTGTTTTTTTTTTTTTTTTTGTAAGTTGTTTTTTGGTTTGGAAAAAGATTTTTTTTTTTATGTTTTTTAATTTTTTTTTGTTTTTAATTTTTTTTTGTTTTTTGGAAAAGGTACTTTTATGTTTTGTTTTGTTAAATGACGTGAAAATTACATGTTTTTGGTTTTAGTTGTTTTTTTTTAAGAAAACACCCAAACATTTTCGAACATTTACGTAATTGATGTGAACCATTTGTTGGAATTTTTTTTTCAATTTTTGATCGTACACGTTTTCGTACATTCGAATTTGGAAAATGACGTGTTCAGTAATGTCAAAGGGATTATTTCCCGTGTAAACACATACATATTGTACATGCTAATATACTTACATACAGACTCTTCCGCATGGGTTACCAATATTACAAGCCTACGAATATTATGTAGACTATTATATATTTCCTAACATTCTGTTATTACGCATGCACACTAACTTGTCCCGTATGTGAAGTTGCACCAATGCTATATGCGGGTTCTCATCCCCAACCATTAAACCATTCTCGTCATGTTCAACCTCTGGTATGGCATTTACTATTGTCATTGCCTCTTTCTCGTTCACGATGGGGTTAACAATTGTTGGATTGCCTGTATTCGACGTATAAAATTATGTAATGCCATTGACGCACCTACTAACTGAACTTGCACATTTGCAAAATCATACCGAGGCATGTCTCTAATAAACCCCCATTGATTTTTCCAGGCCCTGAATGTGCGTTCCACCACACTGCGTAATGACGAGTGAACTTTGTTAAATAATTCCCCGGGGGTGTTCGCTGTCCTTTGCTCGACATTAGCGCAGAATTGTTGATGGTTGTAACGGCTGCCTTTGAAAGGTGCTAGGTAACTTACCCGGTTCGGATAGCCAGCATCGACAAGATAATATTTGCCTGCACACATTACCAGAAATTCAAACAAACCACCAAAAGAGTGTTTAATTTTTAAGTAACAATGTTTTCCAAAAATTATGGACCCAAATATTTTCAATGCACTGTGTTAGCTTCTTGAAGATATGGAAATGGGATATTGTCATTTGTTAGTATCTCATTGCAGATGCGACTATCGTGCATACTTCCTTCCCATCCAAACGAAACGAAGATAAAACACATGTCAAAATCGCAGGCGGCCATGATATTTTGCGTGTGATAGTATTTTCTACCGAACTATGTTGCCACATCTGGCTCTGTAACTCGTGCACTAGCATGTGTTTCGTCTATGGCACCGATACAGTCTTGCCAACAACCCAATTGTATTGTTACTCCTAGTGGTACATGAAATGGGTATTTTTTCATACGTCACGTCCAATAAAATGTAATAATAAGAAGATTCACTTACTTAACTGAGTGAGGTTTTCAAATAGTACTTTGAACGGTAGGTATTTCCGTTTAGACCGCATATATAGATGTATGTGATGCTAAATATATGTGGGCTTGCAATGTACAACAGTGAACTCTTTCATCGCTGTTAATACATTATGCACGTGCCGGGACACAGTCTCTCTCGAATGTTAGAACCGTTCTTGGATTTCCCGATTTTGAAGCCCTCTCAATACGTGGATAAACATTGCAACGCTTTCTTCGACAGCTAATCCGTATGGACGTTTGCGATACTTCTAACCCAAAATCAGTTACTAATGTGTGACACAAAGCTATAAAAACTTCCTTCGACATGCACACATTTTCTTCAAATCGACCCACATGGCCTGTATGTAGTTTCGGTTATCCATGCATGCCCGATCAAAATTGAAGTGCGACACAGTGTTTTAGACATGTATTTTTCGTACCACTCTAGCACATACTGGCATACTTCTACAAATGTCTAGTTGTTTTGTTATTGCAGCTGTATGGACATTTGGTTAAGCATTTCCGTTAACTCTGGATTGTTGCTTCCATCCTCAGGATTCATCACGTCAATTGAAGCGAGACCTACAACAGTGGGATGGTTTCAATCAGCTTACACGTGACTTCTGGCTTAAAGGAAAAATTGAAGGTGCCAATTACATATTGCCAACATCTTTGGAAATATTTACTTTGCATCACCATGGTTTGCATGCCTAACAGTAAAGGACAATTGCTTGTGAAATGATGTCAAATAAACAAACTGGGAATGTAGTGGTAATTGGTAATACATAAACCAATAAAAAATAAAGTACATTAGCAGCACAACCAATAGCAATTGGACAACAACATAACAACAAACAAATAACTAAATAAATAAACAAGCAAGCCACGACAACTTGCCATTGCGCATCGAATTCGCAATAAATAATAACAAACACAACCATCCTGTTCCATTTGAAAAAAAATACACAACCATCCTACATAATCATCAACAAACATACACAAACATGCAAATAAGTCTTATAAAAACGGGCCAAAAAAAAAAAAAAAACCAAAAAAGGAAAAAACACCACATCCATCCTGTTTAGTACAAGTCCAACATGAACGTAATTAAAAGTTTTGTAAAGAAAGAGAAGGGAACGCGTCTTTAGCACGACACTGTTATCAAACACGGGGAGCCTCGTTTAGGTTGGCAAATGGCGCCGCCGCACTCGACTACAGTTGTTTCTGTGTCAGCCAGCCTACAATGTGGTTGTCATCAGGCTGACACATCATCACCTTTCGGGAATCTGCGTTTTCCATCAGTGTCGACGCATAATGGAATAACGGTGTACCGAGAAGGGAAAGAATGTTGCTAAGCCTTTGCATGCACTCCGAAATTGTGTACAATGATTCGTTGCCTGTCAGGTGCCTCACCGTAACTTGCTGATTCTAGGTACGCACTACATTTGTAAGATTGTTCATGCTTTCTGCTATAATTGATGCGCCACTTGTTGCTTTCTTCGACTTTCCACAACTTGATGACGGAGTCCGCTTCCTTTTAACGTCAGCCTGAACTGGTTCGATTGAAGAATCTGAATCCACGTCCTTTGCTCGTGCAGTTATTGGATCAACAAATGGCTGGGCGCCGATACTGTCCATAGAATTGGATGAGACATCGGCCGCTTCAACAACTTTCTTTCTCGGGGTCCAATGGTGTTTACCTGTAGCTGAAGCCCCTATAAAGACTGTCTCCGTCAGCTCGCGATGTTCCAAAGTTTTTTTTTCCTGAACTTTGCACAAACCTTGTTTATCTGCAAAATTGGACATTGATAAAAAAAGTATACGTTACATGCAATAGATGAATGTTTGAGTAACAATAGAAATGGAAAATATAAATGACGAAGGGAAAATATGAAACGAAACAAACATACGAAAACTACATTGTACTTACCGATTCCATCTTGTCCTATCACTCATCAGACACTTTTTTGAGACTCATGTATTTGTTCTTCAACTGTTTGAGGCCATGTTTCCGTCCTGTTTTTTTCTCAAATTTCCTTGCCAACGACTTGTACTTTGCTTGGCTAAGGACTAGGAATGGCCAATTTCCTTTTGTTATCTCACTGGCAATTAACTGCAGAAAAATTCTGATTGAGTCACTGTCCTAGGAGGCCTTATGGTTTAACTACTTGTGTGTCTCTTCCAAATTGCTTGACTTCTTTGGAGCAATGTCTTTGTTTTTCGAAAGGGTACGAGGAGACGTACGTGTAGAAGCAATTTGGACTAACCACGCAGGTCAGGCAACTAATTTACGGGTCAAAATTATCACCATCACAAATTTACTTGTTATAGACATACATATAAGACTATAGGACAGTAATGTAAATAGGTTCCCACATGAACAATATATGGCCATTGCACATTAAGCAATTTAAATGGATGCTAAAATTGACAGTATATAACCATTGCAAATTAACTAACATATAGGAACACAAACACATAACATTCATGCATTTCGCTTAAAAACATTGGAATAGAAATAGTACATAAAAATAGTCTTTAATGTCTCACCCAAATTAGTCATGGCACACAAGGCAAACTAAAGGCATAACATTCAACATTCTAACAACCTCCTAAAGTTTCCTTATAATCACCAACTTTGCTTGTTACAGACATACATGTAAGACCGTAGCACAGTAATTTGAAATGGTTTCCACATGAACAGTGTATGGACATTGCACATTGAAAACAATAACTGGATGTTACGTTGGACAATATATAACCATTGCACATTAACTAACATAGCAATACAGACACATAACATTCATGCAGAACGGATTTAAACATTTGAAGTGAAACAGTACAAAAGACTAGTCATTAATGTCTACTCCAAACTAGTCATGTGTAAACACCCCATTTTTGACCGTCCTCAAGACTTGGACGTCGCCGTTTGAACACTCGGTGATCATTCATGTTCGTGTTCATTTTGAGTTCTCGGAGGTCTCGGCCGGGCACCCCGCCTCAAGATCTCTTAACTTGATTGTTTTGTGCTTGGTTGTAGACCAAACACTTGTATTTTTGCTTGGGAAGGAAGAGGGCGGCTTGTTGGCCATCCCCCCAACCCACCGGCCAAGGCATGATGCCACCGGCCCTTTTTTCTTGCCATCGGCCAAAGATTGTGGCCGGTCGGCACCTTTGTTGGTCAGTCGGCCACCTTTGTTGGTCAATCGGCCATTTCTGCTGGTCGACCCCTTTCCATCTGCTTTTGGCAGATATTTTATGCCAGCTGTCACAGCTGGTGTCCACTTTACACCCCCTCCATACACGTGTATTGAGGGATTTGCTCCCTTGTGTTAGCTTCTCCAAGAATCTTAGGAATTGAATTCCTATAAGAGGGGAGGCCCTCCTCCCTTCTCAGAGGTTCAGAGAAATTAGGGTTAGAGAGGATAGATATAATATTGTATCTATTTTTCTTGGTTTGGTCTTGTTTTGTGACCTAAAGTGAGTTTTGTCTTACTTTTGCACTAGAACACCTAGCATTACACCACCCTTGGGTTGTTGAGGCCTTAGGCCTTAGAAGGTTGTTGTTAGGGTTCTTGGACTGGTTTTGACCAAAGAAAGGTGCTGGAGCTTTGTTTCTAAAGAAGGTCTACAAGGGTAAGCATCCTTACTTTAGTTACCCCTTTCTTGCTTAGGCTTTTAGCTATTCTTGCTTATTGTTTTAAGCTTTGACTATAACTGATAAAAGTTCTAATTTTGTGTGCTTTAGAACTTTGTTTAAGGTCACTTTGAGGTTTGGGGTTGTCTCCCCCCTCCAAGGCCTTGTTAGGCCTTGTCTTAGGCCATACCTTTTGGCCATTGTTTTGGTCTTTGCATGACCTCTCTACCACTGAAATCCAGAGGATTGTTAGTGGTGGAGAGGTGGTTTTGAGGTCCAAAATTGGAGAGGGTCATCCCCTCTTCTTGTTGTCTTTAATGCTTGCATAAATGGCTTATGTGGTAGCATGTGTGTTTAGTTTGTTTTAGCTCCATTTCAGTATGTATTAGGCTTTGTTTTGCCATGATACACTTCTGTTTTGAGTTGGTTTAGACATGTCATGTATGCTTCATACACTTATCTTGTAATCCCATGATTTGGCCTTAATATGCATCATGTTGTAACATGTGTTTTTTAGCATGATTTTGCCTCAACTCCATGAAGCTTTTAGCCTTGTTGTAGCATGATTAAGCTCTGTTTTTCATTGTTTTGGCCATGCTTGCATTGATTTGTGTAGCTACCATGTATTCTAACTTGTAGGCTTTGAGCATTGAATCCTCTAGCATGCTCTATTTGGATCATTTTAGTGGTTTGGCATCACTTATAATGTTATTTCAGTCTATATAGTATGCTTGAATACTTGCACTTATCGCTCCTTTAATGCTTTAAAAGGTTTGTGTTTTATGCCTCATGAATGTGACATTGCGTATGCCGACATGCTTAGGTCATTGGGATGCCATCTACGTGGGTTTTTGGGCTCATTTTGGCATGTTAAAACTCTGTTTTGGGTTGCTTAAATCATGCCATGTTTGGTTGTATTAGGTGTAGGGTAACACCTCTTTGATGGCCTTACATGTCTCATGATTTTGCTCCTTTGTTTTAGCTTGTTTTGGCTTTGGTCATTGCATGTTTTAGGCTTACTTTGCCATGATTTAGGACTGTTTTGGGTTATGCTTGCCATATGCTCTTTGTTTGGTGTAGTATTGGTTCAAGTCCCTTGCCTAGTTTTAAGCCTTAAGCCTTAATCATGCATGCTTGACTTGTTCATGTGATTTGGCATCACTTATAGCATCATTTCAGAGCATATAATGTTGTCACATTTGCACGCTTTTCTTTCCTTTTAAGTGTTCTTGAAAGTTGCCTTTTATGCCTTAGTCTTTAGGTTAATTGGCACGCATGTTTGTATGTGCATTTGTCCTCATTCCCATTTCATTTTGGCCACCGATTTGGGCTTATTTGAGAGCTGTCCATTTTGGTTTAAGACTATCCCCGCATGTTGTTGCATGCTTGCCTTGCATGTTGTCGCATACTTGGCCTATTAATATATTGTTGCATGCTTAAGTGGTAGTGCATTTGGCATGCATTCTTTTGGTTTTACATTGCTTAACATGTCGTCACATGTTTCCCTCACATGTTGTTACATGATTGAATAAAGTCACATGCTTGTTTGCATGCTTGTCTTTGCATATTGTTATATGCTAATTGCCTTGTGTAATATTGTGGCTTGTATGCTCATTTTGCACTAGTATGCTCACATGTTTAGGTTGCATAGCACCGAGCATGCATCCCTTGCCTCTTGATCAATCATGATAGAGGTTGGGCCCCTTTACGTGTTATATGCATTTCATTCCATATTGATTTGCACACTTGGCTCCTTTAGCCATCATGCATCGAGATGCGTGATTAGTGGCCCGAGAGTCGAGGGTTATACTCCCTTGAGTCCATAACATGATAAGGAGAGTGGTAGTGCACACATTGCTTTGAAAATGCATTGCCATGCTCTGTTTGTCCTCTGTTGCAGCAAAACAGGTTTCTGCAGGAAGGGATGGTCGACTGACCATATTCAGTGCCGGCCGACTAACCATGGCTGGCCGATGTCCTCATTTGTGGTAGATGATCTTGGCCGACGGACTCTCAGAAGGACCCCAAGATGATTCAGAAGCATCCTTGAGACTTGTGAAGTTTCCAGAGGTGCAGAGCAATGTAAACAGAGGCAGTGTGAGTATGGCAGTGGATTTTCGAGTAAAGCCATCCGAGCGCGCATGCATCCCTCTTCCTGAGGCTGTTTTACTGCTTTCATAGCTTAATTAATTTGTTAATTAGTTCAGTGGTTTTGTAATATCTAATTAGCTAGGATAGTTAATTATTTATTCGGCCTGTATTATTCTTTCGGACCCTCCGTCGAGAGGGCGAATTTTGTAATAAGTGTGCGTGAGTGTGTGAATGTCTTCCAACCCCACGTCTTTCTCCTTTTTATTTACCAACTTTTGATGGTTAGATTAGAGCATATTTCAATTAGCATCCTTATGCTTCGCATGTTTGCATTCATTCATTTGTATTGCATGCACCAGGCTCGGCGCATCATACTAACTTCATTGTATTTAATTCCTATACATGTATCAAGTGTTGCATCCATATGTCATTTTAGATTAGTCGAGCCTATTCTAGTTGCATTTTGTATGCGATGCATTAGCCATTTTAACATGAACTTGGATCATACATTGATTACTAACATGCTCTTTGTTTTGGCTCGGAGTACACTGTAAGTATTTATGCTTTAGCATCTTGCATGCGTGTGAGTGTTAATATGATAGCATGCTTGCCATGAGGCTAACTGCTTAAGTGTTTAACTGCCTGAATGCCTGTGGGTGAATGTTGGATTACTCGAATTGGAACAATTCATTGAAATCCGCATTTTAGCTTACTTCCGAGTAGCAAACTACAAATCATTTTTCAAGCAAACGGATATGCGATACTTTGTTCCAAATTAGGTGATCTAGTCTATACTTGTGTGCTGTGCGCATCACATAGTAATTCTAGGCTAATAAACTGGAATAAGAACATATGTGTTTTCAAAAACTAGATATCTTATCTAGTAGTGACCGATCTTTGATCGGGCGAGCGGGGGTGCTCATAGCTAATCTTCTCCAATCGTACCCAAGTTCCCGAGCCGAGGCAACTTTGGTGATGACGGACACATGGCCTTAGACAACGAGTCAGGGTTTCCTAAATTTCCCCAAAAATAAAATATTTAGATGGTGACTCTATATCTGGCAAAGCAGTCCATGTTTGGCACTTCTTTCTAAAAATTAGTTTTTCAAAACGATTTTTCGGATTTGGACTCTTTGGTGATTTATCGATCTTGCATTGCACTTTGTGAGATTAGATTCAGAACGGTGACATTTGAGTCCGAACTGTAGTAAACCCAATGAACAAAACGGGATTCCCTCCCGGGACGTTCGGGGACGTCTACATCATGCAATGCAAGTCAAACTCATTTACATAACAGGCAACATCTGTACGACCTCCTACAATATTCCTTACATACGTAACAACAAAATGACAACGACAATGCATAGCACGTAGACAATGGTTTTAAGGTGACGTAATGACTGTTGAATTTGTATGACATCATCCCACAATTAAATGACAATGTCATTTCTGGATGATGCATAGTCCGTGCTTTGTCGGCGTGGTTCTTCGCACTAACCAATCTAACTAACACAGGGTTGATGAGTGCAAATGACGAAGCTATTAGTCAATTGGTTCATAATGAAATGCAGTTATGACTGTTAATGAATTGGGCACTCACCACAAGGCGGAGACATGCAAAGTAGGGATGCCCTGGATTTTTGGTCGAACTGAATATCTTAACAATACAGTGGCCATAGCCACAGCCACAGATCCGACGTGGCCATGTACTGGAAGTGGTAGTAGAGGTAAACGAAGCCATGCTATGTTTGCTGACCGGGCGAAAGACTAACATGTAGGTGGCACATTATTGACAGTTCATGAAAGTGTCATATTGTTAAAAACTGAGGAAAATAAACAGATGTTATTTGAAAATTGGGTTCTACAACAGCAAAAATATACATTGTCAATTATAAATTTCTCCGTATGTGAAATGCGAGCATTTTCCTATAAACCACGAATAACATAAATCATATCTGGAATTCATCTCCATTTCCATTTTTCAATTAATGTACAACTCATTACATTTGTTCTATCCTTCTAAAGAAAGATACAAATAACCAAATTCCATGTGTTAAATCATAGGTGTACCGTTCCTCTTGCGGTAAAATTTGTCATGTTAAGTGAGGGGTCCTACAGTTTGTATTTCATAAAACAGAAATTACACATAATTTAAAACCCTTATTGAAACCATGAGAGTTTTTGTGAAGAGATAAATACATAATTCGACAATCGAAAAGCTAACCCAACATTTCCACGGAGCAGAGTCAGAAATAACGTAATCCAAAAGTTCCAAGCGAAATATGTAATTACAGAAATTTCATTGAAGATGTTAACAAAAAAGAAAATTTTGTGACATGGTAAAAAAAAAAAAAAAAACAAGAGCAGAATAAAATGGTGGAAATTTAATTTAATTTCATGTTGGCAAAAAAATGAAACAGAACCTTAGTTACAAAATTTTTTTAATTCATGTTGGCAAAAAACAGAAACAATTGAGAAGGCCAAAAAAAAAAAATAATAATTCATGTTCGCAAAAAAATAAAAATAAATTATGGTGTTACTTACAATCCTACAAAAATTACTTTTGGCAAAAAATTAATTCCTATTCAGTGTTGTTCATTAATGTTGAAAGAGTTAATTTTTACTAGGAATTATACCAATTTCACAACATAAAAATAAAATTAATTCATGAAATTCGCAACATTGTAACAGGAATTATACCAATTGCACAAAAACAGAAAAAAAAAAAAAAAAAAAAAAATGAACCTCACCACATCAGAAGATCAGTTTTTCTTAAAAAAAAAGTTGGAAAGAAAAAAAAAAACCTTCATATACAGAACCTGATGATGCACAAAAAATTGACCATTCCACAAATAATTCAGATCTTCAGTTTCACAAAAGAAAAACACAACTTGAACCTCAGATTCACAACCAAAGCATTTGTTCAATCAGTTATATGCCAATGCTCAAAATTTCTAGTTTACAAAAAAAAAAATGTACTAGAAAATTAAAAAAAAAAAAAAAATGGAGGTGAAGGAAGGTTTTTGCCGATAGATCAGTGGGTTTCCCACATGCCACACACAAAATAAACATAAAAAAATGGAGGAAAATAACATAACAATGGCTTTCAGAGATGATGGTTGAAGGCACACAGATTCACACACAAAAAAACAATGGTAATACAGAAAACCAACCACTACTTGACGGTTGGTGGTGTTTGGGCCAATGAATTATGCTTCGACGTCGCAGATGTGTACCTGGGCGGCGTTCAGCTCAGTTGAGATCTTCGTGAGTCTTTTGCGATGCCAATGATGTGTAGTACGGTGGCAATCGACTTTGGCAAGCTTCACAAGATGGCTTCCTGTCGCAGCATTGGCGATTCACCTTTCACCGTCGGCGATTTGCCTTTTTCGATTCAGCATGTGGTGTGCCCTAGCGTGTGTGTGTGTGTGGATTTTCTTTTTTCCATTCTCGCCTTTTTCGATTCAGCATGTGGTGTGCCCTAGCGTGTGTGTGGGGTGAGGCGATGCTGCTGGTGTGTATCAGAGTGGGAGGGGGCAGTTTGGTAAATTCATCATGGCATGGGTTCTGTGTAAGCACGTGAAGGTGATTTGGACGGTAGTGGCTAAATTGCGAGGATCCTCTGGAGTTTCAATCCTAGAGTCATCTCCTAAAGTGATCCATCCAACGGCTGAAATTAAATCTCACCAAAACGACATCGTTTTGGTGAGTAATTTAAAAAAAAAAAAAATAAAAAAAATTGACAAACCTAACAAAAATTCAAACAGGTATTGGTTTGTATGCATTGATTGAATACAAATAAACGATTGACAAACCTAACAAAAATTCAAACAGGTATTGGTTTGTATGCATTGATTGAATACAAATAAACGATTGACAAACCTAACAAAAATTCAAACAGGTATTGGTTTGTATGCATTGATTGAATACCTTACCGGAAAAACTTGGTTTTCGATTCCATTGAGGGAATGCTTTTGTGTATACAAATATATATATATATATATGTTTTCTTCACTACCCATACAAACCTCCATAGCCCAACAACAAAGTGAATATTTTTGTGTATACATATATATATATATCAGAATATGTATCTATAGAATTAGTCAAACCTCACAACCCACAAAGACAACAATAATGTTTCAGGAATTGAACTTGGGTAGATGGGTTTGAGATTGAGAGATCTCTCAAAGTCCCAAAGAAGAGAGAGAGAGAGAGAGAGACTCTGTAACTCAAACCTTACAACCCACACACAAGTGAGATAGAAAGGAATAATAAACCTTAAATAAAGTCAGGTACTTCACCTTCTTGCCCTGCTGTCTGGTTAGTCGATTCCGGTGCGAAATCGGATGGTTCGATCGAAAAAGAGAGAGAACAACGATGATTTCCGGCGAAGAAATATTTTTTCTTTCTGTCTCTCTAATACTCTGCTTCACAATCACAGGAACAAGAAATAGATCTGATTTTTTTTTTTCCAAATTACTCACCAAAACGACGTCGTTTTGGTGAGGTTTAATTTCGACCGTCGGATGAATCACTTTAGGAGATTACTTCAGGATTTAAACTTCAGACGATCCTGACGCGGCTAAATTAGCCTTTTTTGGATGGTAGTGACTAAATTAGCCCAAAATTGTCTTCCCAAACGGATGCTTAATGAGTCCAAATGGAGTCTAATGTCAAGATTTAATAGAATAAAAAAATTTATCTTAATTTTTTTGCCCTACCTCTTTATCATATTTTAATTGAATAATTTTACTTTAATTTTGTTTGTCCTAATTTTTTTGCCCTCTCTCTTTATCATAATTTAATTAAATAATTTTGCCTTAGTTTTTTCTCCCAATTTGTTTTCAATAGTTTGTGTTTTGTTATGAAAAAATAATTTTCGAGTTAAAAATACAGACGGTGAGAATTGCAAAATTTTGTAGTTTTGTAGATATGTTTACACTTTTCTCTAAGACTGTAGCCTTTTCTTTTCTCTTTTTTAAAATTAAAAAAAAAAAAAACATTGACAAATTGAAAAGCAACAAACCCTTAGAAATTACTGATCCAAGATTACCACCATTGCCATGAAGTGAAATTGCGTTTTGATAAATTGCAAGCGAGTAAATTGATAATTTTTGTAGTTTTGAATTGCAAATTGATAATTTTAATAGTTTTGAAATTACAAATTTATGCAGTTTGATGAGTAATAAATTTAAATTCTAAATTTTTATAATTTTGTGAATTGAAAATTATTTATTTTGTATGATAAAGAGTTTTTTTTTTTTTTTTTTTTTTCCTTCATGTTTTGTGGTGTTAGAGGATGTAGTTAAATTTTGTTGTGTTTTCGCTTTATTTTCTCCCCTTCCTCTTTTTTTTTTTTTCCTGGTCATGTTGTGAACATTCCAATGAGTCTTCAAAAATGTTCTTGACGTCGAGTGACTTTCAAACAATGGTCTGACGGTGATGAGATATAACAGCGCCTTTAAATTTAAATATATATATATATATATATATTTGTAACGATTAAGAATATATAAGACAAATTGATGCAAGTGATTTGTTTTAAGGTTAGGAAAGTTTTAAATCGTTGAAATAGGACCTTCCCATTAGTACTCCATAAAACAGCGACCTTCTATATTCATCCTCCCCTAATTCAGTATTGGTTTCATTTAATATTTAAATAAATTTAAAATAGTTTCTATATTGATTGTGGTTTTTGGTTTGATTACAATTAAATCCATTATATCTTCTTTATTTATTTTTTTAAAGATTGTTAGTGTCGGTCATTTTTTGTGTGTATTTTTTGGACTTGGATTTTTTTTGCCAAGTCTATGCCCTGATTTTATTTATTTATTCTTATAAGGGATATTTACTAATAAATCTCATTTTATAAATAAATATTTCAATTATTCTCAAATTTTTTCTATCGATATGTCATGTTCTATAAGTGGAGAGTTTCTTTCCGTGTGGTCCTATTTTTTATTTCGGTAGTGTTTTGATTGGCAACTATATCCTTTTATTAATGTGACAGGTATAATGTAATACTCCAATGTGATAGGTATTAATGTGATACTCCAACGACGTGACACTCCAAAAAAATTGAAAACTTCTTAGTGAACTTTTCCCAAATGTAACAATATGACAGGTATGATGTAACACTTCAAAACTTTTACTCTAAAAAAATTAAAAATTACTTAGTGTACTTTTTTTTAAATGTGACAACGTGAGGGTTATGATGTGACACTCCAAAAAAAAATAAAAACTACTCAGTATACTTTTCTCAAACGTAATAATGTGATGGGTATGATGCGACATTCTAAAAAAAATTAAAAATTCTTTAGTGTATTTTTCCCAAACATGACATGTGACACTCCAACGTAGCAGATATGATGTGACACTCTAAAAAAATTAAAAACTCTTTAGTGTATTTTTTCCAAATGTGACACTCCAATGTGACAGTATGATGTGATACTAAAAAACTCCTTAGTGTATTTTTTTTTAATATGACACTTCAATGTGACGGATAAATGAGTCATTACACATCTAAAATGACTAAATAGATCACAAGAAAAAATATGAAATTATATAAATTACAAATCTAAAATATAAGACTTATTGATCAATCTCTCCAGATTTATTATTATTTTTTAATTTGTTCTCGACCCATGAGGGGCTTGGACAACATTCAGGCCAAGTTTGGCTAACAAAAAAAAGTGCACTTATTTCATCTTTTTATCTTTTTTGGGTCACATCAATCAACATTTTCTCTCTACTTTTTCTACACATAATACAAAAAAAGTCAAAAAGTACACTTATTTAATCTTCCCAAACTTCAATTTCGTAATTTGCAACATAAGTCTGACCCATCGATGCCCACCTGTGACTCATATCCGAAAGCTACAAGAATATCAACTGAAATATCTTCAGAGTGTCTCCCCTCTCTAGGGTTGCAAATAAACAGAATCGTTCATGAATAGACTCAAACTTGATTTGATAAGAACTCATTCGAATTCGGTTCATTAAATTTTTATTATGTTCAAACTCGAATTCGAATTCGTTAAAAGCTTAATAAACAAATCCAAACAAACTATAACTTGACTTGTTAGTTAGGCTTGTATAATATTTATTTAAATAATAAAATAAATATATTATTTATATATGAAATAACGTAAAAATATGTATAAACAATAAGATAAATATGTTATTTATATATTTAAATAATAGTTAACTATATATAATATATTTATATAATAATAGTGGCAGTTATTATTACTATGGTAAAATATTGATTTTTCTTGTAGTACGTTTTTATATATTGTATATATAATTGTATCATCAAAATTTCAATTATAATTTTAGTCTCAAATGTAAGTATAAATTTATAATTTTTTTTGCTCATTAAGACTTGTGAATAGGTTCGAGCTCGAGTCAAGGCTAATTCAACTTGGCTCAAGCTGAGTTCCTTAAATTTTTATTGAATTCGAACTCAAGTTCAACCTCGTTAAAATCTTAATAAACAAGTCTTAATATACTAAAACTCGACTCGATTGCAACCCTCCCTCTCTCCCTTCTCTTTCTCTCTCACATAAATTTTATAAAAATTTTAAAAGAAAATTTAACATTAAATATCTCATAACGTTTTTTAATAATATATATCAATTTTTTTTGATAGTGTGATTAAAGTATTAAAATTAATATCTTATTTATTAATAAGTAAGATTTTATTTATTTATTAATAATTTGAACGTGTGTATTTAAAACAAAAAATAAATAAAATAGTAATAGTCTTAAATTTTAAAGGTGATCGTTATTCTCACACTATTTTGCTCTAAGTACATTCCTTTTTTTGTCCTTATTATATATAGCAAGGAGTGTATTTGGAACAAAATGGAGTGAGAATAGTAACGATGCATAATAAGAACAAAGAAAATAATGTATTTGAAACAAAGTGGAGTGGAAATAGCGACTCTAATTTTAAAATGTGTCGAAATGATGAATAACAGTTTTATTAATAAATAGTAATAGTAATTGTTTATTAATAATCTTGGTAATGCATCTTTTGTACAGGGCGGCCTAATATGGGATCCTAGGCAAATTTCTCAAATTAGGATATTTTCACTTATTTAAAATAATAATAATTCGTAAAATGTTTACTCATAATTATATATATTCTAATACACACAAAATTTATTTGTGTATATAATTATTAAAATTTAATTACATAAATTAAGAATAACTCAAAAAGATAAAAATTAGTCATGTTCTATAATTTTTCTGCTTCTTACTTCTTTTTTCTTTAATGCAAAACTACAATAGCAAGCGTGATTATATATCAATCATATTTCAATTTACAATTCATAAAATCCAACCTACAGACGTAAATTATGTGAGAATGGCTCCTCTCTAAACCACTACTCTTCATATTTTATCATACTTTATTTTATGAGGCTCATACTGGGCCT